CTCCAACTCTGGCCAGTGCAATGCCTCATCGTGAATTTTAGTGACCAAGTACCGTTTCTCGTCGGTGCCTTTGCTGGACCAAGCAAGCCGGCATCTGCAAATGACTTTCTCTTGCCATTTGTAATGGAGCTTAAGAACCTGCTGGAAAACGGTCTCATCGTTAACGGCTGTAGTGTTTGTGTTTCCCTGGAGGCAATCATATGTGATGCGCCAGCACGTTCATTTATTTTGTGTACCAAGGGGCACTCTGGCTACAGTGGTTGTCCAAAGTGCACATGTGAAGGTTCATATAAAGATGGGAAGATAGCTTTCCTGGACACAAGCTGTGAAATGCGCACAGATGCCAGCTTTCGACAACAACAAGACCCTGACCACCACAAGGGTACTTCTGTTCTTGTTCAGCTCCCATCGACACGGTGAAGGACATTCCATTAGACTATATGCATCTGGTGCTCCTTGGTGTTGTCAGAAAACTAGTGCTGCTTTGGATGTCTGGGCCGCTGACTGCTCGTGTTGGCCCTCTTGAACACAGGCTGATGAATGATGCCAGTGCAAGTTTGAAAGAGCACATTCCCCGAGAGTTTTCTCGACCACCGCGGCTTCTGACCGACGTTGAACGCTGGATGGCGGTTGAGTTGCGGCTCTTTTTGTTTTACACAGGCCCATTGATATTACAGCCAGTGTTGAAGCCCGAACTCTATGAAAACTTTTTAACTTTGCATGCTGGGCTCTTCATTTTGGCAAACAGCGAGTTGTGCTGTCGGCATGCTGAATATGCTGGAGCATTGCTTAAACAATTTGTGGCTACTTTTATGAGCATCTATGGGGAACATCAAGTGTCATACAATGTCCATTGTCTAATTCATCTGGCCGAAGATGTCAAGGTTCATGGAGCCATTGACAGATTCAGCGCATTCCCATTTGAAAACAACATGCGACATGTGAAGAAAGAGCTGCTAAAGCATGAGAGGCCACTCCAACAACTTCGAAACCGAATGCTGGAACGACAGCAGCTGCCATCTGTCATTAAGGAAAAGTCGCCAACTATTGTGCTGAGTAACCCCCTGAACTTCGGGCCCTTGCCGTCTCTTTGCACAGGACCTGAATTCAGTGTGGCCAAATGAAAAGATTTCATTGTTAGTGCAAAAACTGGTGATAACTGCATTATGGTTGACGGACACATCATTGTTGTTCAGGTCTTTGCCTATATGAAAGACTCAAATGAAGCATGTGTTGTTGGACAGGAATTTCTTTGCAAAGAAGACTCCTATGTTATTCCATTTGAATCCTCACGCATTGGAATATTTGTTGTCTCCGGGCTGTCTCGAACAAAAGCATGGCCTTTGAAGAGCCCCAAGAAGATGCTCATGCTGCCCTATTCCAGCAAGTTTGTGGTAATTCCAGAAATTCATACTAACTGAACTCTTGGTGCTTTCAATTTTCATCGTAGTACTGAAGTGCCAGTGAAATAAATTACTTCCTGTGATTGATAATTCAAGGTTGTTTTTTGTGCTATTTACACGTAATTTAGTCTGTTTTTTGTGAAAAGACTGATAAAGGGCATTCATATATTTATTTTTTTCAGATGGCATATGCTATTGTAGATTTTGTTGGTCGGAAAGAAATAGAAGTTGTGCCATGCTCTTGGATTAGTGGAAGCACTTGCATGTGGCCAAAAGTTCCGCTTGATAAACTGAAGACAATGGTGAAGAAAAACAGCCCCTGTTCATCCTCATTGCCCTGGCAGAGGTATGAGTTTCAGGTCAAAGGACTTTTTGGTAAGTGGATTCATGCTTTAGCAGTAAAGACATAACTTTTTTAGACGAGCGCGCTGTTTACGAATGCTGGGTGTGGGCACGCACATATGCAGTAGGTTTTTGGGAGATGAGAAGTGTGTGCACAGTACCTGGGGAAGCACCACTTCAGAGGAGTGACGTTGGAGGCAGGTATTGGTGTGTAAGGGGGCAACTCTATGATATATATATATATATATCTGATAATACTACACTAGAACACTTCCTAATCACTCCCCAAGGCGAGCACATAAAAGTTGGAATTGATAACCCACTTTCTCAGAATCATTGGTGGTCAACCATGAAGAAGACATGTCACTGTATTGACACACAGCAGTCCATAAATGTAGTATGACATCTATAATTTGTTTCACACTGCTGAAACTATTTTGTATGGTGGTAAAGTGATAAATGCTCATCGTTGTGTTGCTACAACTTCATTCTACATTTGATGAGTCACTTTAGGCATGGAATAGCATGTTTTGGCAATGTTTCTAGCAGTCGTTTGGAGTACAGACACTGTTTGATTTTTTTTTTCTTTTGCATGTGCAGCTTTGTACGATGAAGCTAGAAGGAAGCTGGACAAGAGTCAATACACGTCCGACTTGGCAAGCGAAGATGAGCCACCTCAGAAAGGGAGGAGGACACCAGCTACAAGATGGGACCCTACTCATGATACATGCAGCAGCTTGTGGTCAGAAGACAGTGCGGGCACTTGGCCTCCTGAAGTTCCAACGGACTTTCCTCAGGGTGAGACTGCATAATAACAGTGTCGATTTTTCCAATTTGAAGCCATGCTGTCTAGAAAACGGTAGTTATATCTATGCTGTTGTAGTGCTATAGACCTTAGAACTTCAGTTCAGGAGACACCTGTTGGAAGCAACCTTACTTCAGGAGACAAGTGAGAGTAACAACATTCTTTTGTGCTACGTATCTTCAGGTTTCATGGTGTTTTGTTGGTATGCACAGTGTTGTCAATGTGGCTCAACAGGAAAAGGATAAACGATTGTGTATTTCCAGTAGTACAAGCGCATCAACATCCGCTTACTTCCAAGTTTGTTCTTAATAGCCCTTGTCCAGTGGAAAACCTTGACAGCCTGGGGTATATTGCCACAGCTCTATCACAGTTCAATTCTAATTCCAGGGCACCTGCCTGAAGCTATGTGATGCCACTCAAAGCTTCCCACATTGGTTTTGATTATGTAATGTATCAGAGTGTCTAGCACCCGGAATTCCCAGGGAAATTTTAATTATCAACATACCTAAGAATGAAAATCAGGGAATAGTCAGGAATATTATCAAAAAGCAAGCCCAGTCAAGGAAAATGAGCCGCAAACGCCATCAAGTGCCCTGAGCAAAGACTTAGACTCGGGGGCAGAAAAATAGGCAATAAATTCTTAGAGCAGAGCGTTGGCTCTGCTCACTCGATGTAGGGTGTGCTACCCGATCCAAAGGAAACAGTCGACAAATCTAGTCCAGGCCTTGAATTGGATTGGATTTAGGGCGCGACAGTAGGCAAGATCCAGTTAGAACTACTAGATATAGTAACGAATGGAAAAGCCGCAGATCCTAATCCAAGCCTTAAGCCGAAAGTGTGCATCTAGCGGCCAAGCTGACATTTGGTTATTGACGTGTGATTGAGCGCAGTGTTTCCGGTAGTGGCCTCTTCACTGGCGATGTCGGCAGCAACAAAGTGCTCGTTTATTCCGAACTGGACGAACCCAAATGTTTCGGAATATGCAAGTTGGATTAAGCCCGTGCAAAATGATACTCAGTGCTGAGTGCTCCATGCCTTGTGCTTTAATGATACATATTTAAGTGCTTCTACAGTGGTCAGAGAATTTCACCTAGCATTGACAGGGAAAACCTGGAAAAGTCAGAATTTCAAAATAAAAATTTGCTATACCTGTTTTCACCCCAAGAACCATAGGAAAAAAAAGTCAGGCTTCTTGCGGAGCATTACTGATTTCCCCCTTTATGTAGAGAATTAAGGGTAACTGCAAAGAAAAAAAAGTGTATTTTTAAACACCCTAATTAGGATAAACATGTCAGAACAATTTTTTCGCCAAAAACAAAAACGTTTACAGCAATATTTATTGCGCCAGACTGATTTTAGTTTGCGGCTGTTTCGTCCGTTTTAAACTGCGTGCCACAAAGTTGGTATTCTACGTCACGGAGTGACGTATAGCAGCCACTCTGCGCGCGTCAAAAGAACGGGAGTTTCAAATGTGGAGAAATTGTGCTGACTAAATTACGTCCTGTGGCGTAAATGTTGATACAAAAAATTTGTTTTTTCATGTAAGATTTGTTTTGTGACATGTTTGTCCCAACTAGGCTGTTTATAAAAATATTTTTTTTTCTTTGCAGTTACCCTTTAAGATATGGGTAGGTGATTTAGTTTTATGTTATCTTATCAAGACATACACATTCCAAACGCCCAACACATCGCATTTTCCTCCGACAACCAAATCTAGTAAGAACTACTTCGTGCTGCGTATGAACAATGCACAAAACTTATTTCTTTCTTGAGGTGAAAACGGGTATAGACACCCGGTGTTTAATAGGCATGGAGCCTTTTCAACAACAGGGCTTTTTCCTGACGGCATGCAGCTCTTTTCGGGAAGGTAACCGATGAAGATAGATATTTATATTTGTAATTATAATTTTCTGATAATTTGTAGCCATTTAACGTGTCAGCCTTTTATGTGTTTATATCAAAAGGTTTGAACAAAATACAGATCGTGCTACACCAAACTTTTTGGTTTTAATCACTGTTGTACTGATGTGCAGCCTGTGTTGCCTCTGATTGATGTCGTGTGGAGTCCCCAATTTTGAGCCAGCATGGAAGAGGTGAGTAGACAGTAGGTTATGCTACAAATTATTTAGAACATGTTATGCTATAAATTAAATAGCATACATTTTCTTGATAATTTTTAAATGACAGTGCTTTATACAGTAGAACCTCGTTGATATGTTTCTGGTTTTTAAGTCTTCCCTGCTGCCATGCTCACAAATGCCGGTCCCATTGAACTTTCATAGCAAGATGTTTATTAATTGCTTGTTTGAGTGTGAATAACTTGATATATAGATTAATAACGTCTAAAAAACAAACAAAGAAATGAAATAATTTTTTTTTTTTTTGCTGCGCAGCGTCACCAAGACCAAGTACGTTGCTCACAAGGTTCGAAGATATGTGTCAGAGTCGCCAGTAAGGCAGCGGAACTTTTTGATGCATGCAAACCCTAATAACACAGGACAAGCCTTGGCTAACCCGTCGCCACATGGAACACCTCAAGACGGGGTGCAGGCATACTCTGGTAACACTGTTAGCCTTTTCTCGTCAGTCGGAATGCTTGCATATTTTAAGTGCTGTTTCTGGTGTAAGCCGAAGCTTTGTCTTGATCACACCTGTTGTAATATTCCAGGACAGACTCCATGCCCTGGGCCCACTGCCTTGCCAGAGCGTGGTGAGTTACGATATTTCTTATTTTATCCAGCATTCTGTTTCCTGGCTCAAGTAGTAGGCTTGTCATGCTAAATGTGCAAGTATTTTTTAATGTGTGCTGTCAACATGTCTTAACATCATGTTTAGAAATTAGGAAGTGGACCATAACATTTCTATGTGCTCTATATGTCCCCTTTGTTTGTCTTATGTACATGGAGGTATAAATGCTGTACATGCAGGCATTTTGAGTGTTTATAACCTCTTTCAATGAGGTTATTGATAGAGGCTATGGAGGACTCACAACCTGTGCTATGGTGTGCGCAGCTATCTCGTCACTCTTTTTGCTCCGCCGGTAGTTTCAGGCAAAACCCACCTCAAACTCAAAGAGGTAAGCCGGCATAGTATTAAAAAAAAATATGGTCGGATTGCTGAGAAAGTGGAAGAGCGCATATGGATTCCGCCATTTTTACCAATAAACTTCTCCAACTTACTGTGACGTCCCCCAACATCCTCTATCGTCGCGGGAAGCAGCAGCCAAATGGGCGAATTAAGATTTTTTTTTAATGAAGCTGGCGCGACCAGCATGACAGACCGCCCTCCTCATTCCATAATGCTTCATACAAGAACGCTTTACCCAGATGTTACACCAGCAGCATTATGATTGTCACTGTCCACTTTGCTTGGGGTAAAATGCTCATGTTGGGAAATGCCTGAGCCCGTCTTCGCATGACTCCTCCACACTGACCTCTCCTTTGCAGGTTGGAACACTTTCTAATTTTATTAGGAATTCCAGAAATGTACTTGCAAAAAAGTAGCATGCCATAGCTACAGGTTACTAGAAATTGTACCTAAAATACAGTTAGTTACCAAGAAATAAAAGTGTCTACATTTGTACTTCAGATAAACAAATACTACCTACCGTTAAATACCAAGCATCCGCCCATTCCGCACTAAGCGGCCATTCCTAAATGTTGTGGCACCTGAAAAAATATGCGAAGTACAAATATAGATCAAATTTGTGATCTAACAAGTGCCCATCCCTCACTTTCTTGCAGTTATCTCAGAATTTTGAATGAGCGCCGCTTGATCGTTACTTAACGGTAGTTACCAATGCACAGCTACTTGTACCTAGGTACTTCACAACCTTGCTAATAAGTAATTTTTATTTATTCTTCAGAATTTCAGGGCCAAGTGTTAAGGCTACTCAATGTTATAAGACTGAGCTTGCAGCAAGTTGCCAGCACGCTCGACGCTCTCACCGCCTCCAGCGAGCCTACTGCTGCACCCAATCCGGTTGTACCGCAACCGTTCGACACAGCCGAGGGTCTCTCTAACTTCGAGGCAGATCTCAGCGCATCTGACGAAGCTCTTCTGGTGCGTCCATGTTTACATAACATAGACTTGGGCTGATAGCTGTAGGACCTTAGGTGTTGTGCATGCCACCTGTGTGTGTAAAATAGAAAACATAGCTAGCAGTTCTTCAGCATGTTCCTTCCCAAGTGTTGAGGTGCAACCAAATTATTTCAAGAAATATTAGTTTTGTGAAGACTCTGAGGTTTACTAAATTGGCAGGAACTAACAAAAATAAAGAGTGTCTTAAAGTTCGCACACACCAGACTCCGAAGCTTCTGGTTGCAGCTTGCTATGTGAAAAGGTTGAGGAGAAGGAATGGTAGATACAGCTTATTTCTGTCTTGTATTTTTATAATAGACCCTTTAGAGAATAGCTCTGATAGGTTGTAAAGCAACTCACATAGGCTGTGCTCTGCTGAAATGCTACACCCAATTTGTGTGGCATCTTTGAAATTTCCAGGTCAAGGAACTAATTCAACTTGGTGGACGAAACCCCAACACCGCAACCAAGCGGATGCTCGCCTACCTGCTGACTGATAAACTAGCAGCCGAGTACTCTTGGGAGGGAAAGAAGGGGAAGAAGAAGTTCTGCAAGCTTCGTATTTGTCAACTCATGTGTGGTTAGTGTCACTTTTTTCATTCTTTGAAGTTCATTACTGAAATTTATGTCACAATTGTTTAAGGTTTCTGTTTGCAGGTGAAAAATTATCTTACTCTTACCCTGGGAGAGAGAAATATGATCAAAAGAAACATAGTGAGTGCCAGAGTGGATAAGGTAGCAATTTTGGGCAAACATTTTAATCCGCTAAATTTGAAAAAACAGAACTAAAAATACACCCCTGAAAGAGAAATGTACATTATGTTTACTTCTGAACATGTTCATTTCATTACTGTACTATTATTTCCCAGCTTCCCGCAGGGGGCACCTGTGAAAGCAGGTCTTTGGAGAGTGGCGTCTCCACGGACCCCGAGCCATGCGGGTTCGCCCGCCCACGTATGGCTGTGCGTGGCTTTCCCGTGTCTGGGGAAAAGGGCATCCTGGTGGTTGAGCCGAGCCCGGGGTAGGTTTGGACCCTTCGGGGCCCCCCGGGCGAGGCAATACACCACTTCGGCCCCCGCTCTCATAGACGGGGGTCCTGGTAAGGCCCGGCCAGGATGATTCAGCCTAGTCGCCACTTCTACTATCCCCTCCTCTCTTTCACCCTTGTCTTCTCCTTCTTTTCACTCTTCTCATTTCTCTTCTTTCTTTTTTCAACTCCTTTGGCGGCAAGGGCTAACCTTGGGTGGCGACAGACTCCTTGTCCTGAACCACACTTGGGTATAGTACCTGGGCAGTACTAGTAGCGTAACGTCTCCAGCAAAGCCCTGTTTGTTATGGTGCGTTACCTATTCCCGTGTTGGGCTCCGTGGTGGGCGGCACACCACAGGTTCTGAGGACTCTCCGCCTCTTATGGCTCCCCCTCCTCCAAACCGAACACGGCGCGTGCCCCTAAAAGGGGTTGCTCCGTACTTACTTTCGAAAACGCATCCGAACCGCCAAAGTTTCCAAGATTTTTTGTCATTCAAGCCCTAGATGAAGAAAAGCCACTGGCTAAGCTCTCGCCTTTTCTAGTTTCAAAATGTCTTGATGCCATTATTGGCAAAGCTTTTAAGGCGAAAAAGCTCTGTGGTAACCTTCTTGTCGAGGTTGAAACAGAAGTTCAAAGCAGGACGCTTCTAAAACAGACATGTCTAGGTGAACACCAGATAAAAGTAAGCCCACATCGGACACTGAATAGTATTCGAGGTGTTATCTCTGAGCCTGATCTGATAGATTGCACTGAGGATGAAATTCTGGCTGGACTCCAGAAACAGGCAGTGGTGGCCGTCAAGCGGATCACCATCTGTAAAGACGGGCAGGAGCAGCCAACCAAGCACTTGATCCTGACTTTTTTACTGCATACGCTTCCTACGACCGTTAAAGCTGGTTACCTACACTGCAAAGTCCGGACTTTTATCCCCAACCCACAAAGGTGTTTCCGGTGTCAGCGCTTCGGGCATGGCTCGCGAAACTGTCGGGGCCGTGAAACTTGCGCAAAGTGCGGCAGTAACGACCATGTTGCTGACATTTGTGAGAATACTCTCAACTGTGTTAACTGCCAAGGCAACCATGCTGCTTATGCTAGAACATGCCCACAATGGGAGCGGGAAAAAAGAAATCCTAACCCTTAAACCACAAAATAATATTACGTACCAAGAGGCAAAACAACAGTATTCCTTTTTCGCAAAAGGCACGTTTGCGCAGGCGGTGCAAAGGGGACCAGCACCGCGAACAGAATCGAAGGCCACTCAGGTCTCTCCTGAGGTCCTGGCAGTGGCTCTTCAGTCCCCAACCCCCCAGCAGCGTCAGCAGCTTCCCCTGGTTCTGGAGGAAGCGCACCAGCTGCCTCTCGACCACGGGACAGGCAGCGAGCCCCCCTAGCTGTCTCCACTCCAAGGTGTCCCCCCAGGGAGACGGAGCGAGAGTCTCGCCCCAACTCACGGGAGAGGGCCTCGTCCAAGGAGCGGCATCACGCCGCTCCTTCAACAGCTGAGGAGCGGGGACGGATGGAGTTGGGTGTCGTTCAGCCCAGCACCTCCACTGCTGCCCCTTTGAGTGAGGGCGGTCGTGGCCGGGGAGTCCGGCCCCGTACCTCGACTTTGCCCAAACCTACACAACAAGCCTCGTCTCAAGAGGTGGAGGCGAGGGACGAGGCCACCGAGCCTTCCGCTCTTTCGTCCGATCAGGACGATATGGAATGGGAGATTTCTAAAACAAAGAAAAAAACGAAAAAACCAGTAATACCTCCAAAGTAGTTTCCTCTGGGAACGTCATCCCAAGACCAGAGTAGTTGATTGTATTTTTATACTTGCATCTCTTTTACATAATAATGCCTCCACTTGTTCTACAATGGAACTGTCGAGGTCTTCTTGCAAACTATGATGATATTACTGATATACTAGAGGAACGCAGTCCCATTGCCCTCTGTTTGCAAGAGACTCACATAAAAGGGAGTCACACAAATGTCCTCAGGCATTTCCAAGTGTTTCGGAAAGATCGGCAGCATTCAAGCCATCCATCTGGAGGTTCTGCTGTCGTTTTGCAACGCTCTGTACCATGTTTGGAAGTACCCTTAAACACTGAACTAGAGGCCGTTGCTACCCGTATACTGACTAACCGATTGATTACTATTTGTTCAGTATATATACCTCCAAACTACCAGCTTAAGTATGAGGAACTTTAATTACTTTGTGATCAGCTTCCTTCTCCTTTTGTGCTTGTGGGTGATTTTAATGCTCATAATCCTCTCTGGGGAAGTGGACGAAAACATACACGAGGAGCACTTATTGAACGTTTTTTACTCTCCTCAGGATTATGTTTGCTCAACTCGAAAGAATCTACACATTTTTCAGCAGGAACACATACATTCACATCAATTGATCTTTCAATTGTGCATCCCACATTATTTCCTTTTCTAACATGAAAAGTCATTCCTAATCCATATGGCAGTGATCATTTTCCCATTATTTTAGACTTTCACAATCACCCTATTACACTTCCAACTCGGACACCTAGGTGGAAGATTGACAAAGCCAATTGGACACTTTTCAAACAATCCTCTGTTTTAGCTATTACATCTCACCATCAACTTTCTATTGAAGAGGCAGTAGACCATATTACAAAGCTCATATTGGAAGCTGCTATGATCGCAATACCCATGACATCCACTCACCTTCCCAAACGACCGAAGCCATGGTGGAATGAAGATTGCCAAAAGGCTAAAAAGAAACAAAACAAAGCACGGGCCATTTTTAGGCGGTACCCTACACCGAGCAACCTTGTTACTTTCAAGATAATGAAGGCTTCTGCGCGATTTGTTCGCAGGCTGTCTAAACGACATTGTTGGATGAAATATTCGTCATCTATAAATAGTCAGGCGACACCAAAGGAGGTATGGGATCGAGTCCACAAAATAAATGGCTCTTACCATGCTTTTTCCATTCCTCTTTTGACAAAAAATGGAATATGCCCTGAAAGCCTCGAAGAACAGGCAGACATTCTCGGCGAACACTTCGAGTTCGTTTCCAGCTCAAGGAACTACACGCCTACTTTACTTCGACACAAAGTACAGGTAGAAAAAAGGTCAGTAAATAGTTCGAGTGGCTATCAAGACCCATATAATGCTCCACTTACGTTGCATGAACTTGAAATTGTTCTTCATTCCCCTAAGCAGACTGCACCTGGCCCAGATGGAATTCATTACATTATGCTTCAACATCTTCATCCTTCAACTGTTCAACTCATTTTATATCTTTTCAATAGAATTTGGTCTGAAGGCCACTTTCCAACTTCTTGGAAGGTGGCCTTTGTAGTACCCTTGCTTAAACCAGGAAAGGATCCTTCTAGTGCTTCTAGTTATAGGCCTATTGCATTGACTAGGTGTCTATCAAAAGCTCTGGAACGAATAATTAACAGAAGGCTTATGCATTATCTTGAAACTCACAAAATTCTAGACAGGTATCAATGCGGCTTTCGGTCGGCACGATCCACAGTGGACCACCTGGTTCGCTTCGAGAGAGCCGTGAGAGAGGCATTTGTGAACAAACGGCACTGCCTTTCTGTGTTCTTTGATCTGGAGAAGGCTTATGATACTGCCTGGCGATTTGGAATCCTGCAAGACCTCATCAACATCGGTATTTGCGGGAGCATGTTCGGCATCATTAAAAGCTATTTAGAGTGCCGCTCATTTCGTGTGAAACTTGGAACAACTTTCTCTCGGGATTTTGTACAGGGAAATGGTGTTGCCCAGGGTGGTGTACTTAGTGTCACTCTTTTCATTATAAAAATAAACTCCATTGCCAGAGTAATACCTCCTTCAGTTCAATACTCTATTTATGTTGATGACATCCAAGTTTCAGTATCATCATGTAACCGCTCCATATGTGAAAGGAGAGTTCAACTGGCAATCAACAAATTGACGAACTGGGCTGATACCAACGGTTTCAGGTTTTCCACAGAAAAAACTGTGTGTGTATGTTTTTCTCGCCGGCGAGGAATTTTTCAAGATACTTCATTAACCATTTATGGATTGCCTATAGCTGTGAAGAGTGAACATAAGTTTTTAGGTCTTCTGTTTGATTCAAAATTATCTTTTGTTTCTCACATTAAGCAGTTGAAGTTGAAATGCACAAAATCACTTAATATCCTAAAAGTATTGTCTCATCAATCTTGGGGTTCTGATAGACTGTGCCTTTTACGCATTTATCGTTCAGTGGTTCGCTCCCGTCTAGATTATGGCAGCTTTGTGTACGGCTCAGCTAAAGCATCAGTATTGAAGATGTTAGACCCTATTCATAATCAGGGGCTACGGCTGTCTATCGGAGCGTTCCGCACCTCCCCAGTTCCCAGCCTTTATGTGGAGGCCAATGAGGTCTCTCTTGAGAAAAGACGCTTTGCTCTAGGATTTATGTATTCACTCCGAGTAAAGTCTGTTCCTCTCCATCCTGCTCATGATTCTGTTGTAAAAATTAGGTTTCAAAGGACTTTCCAAAATAAGCCAAGCTTTGTTCCTCCTTTTACCTTGAGAAATACTACGGCAGCAGAACTCTTTGGTCTGGAGCCCAAACCCTGCGTGACACAGCACAGAAACACTGTAGCTCCTTGGGATTACTCCCTCGTCCATTGTGACTTTACACTGACAAAACACAGCAACAAAGACACTCCGGACGAAGTGCTGAGGCAAGAGTTCTTCGAACTACTAAGCCACTATCAGCACTACACAAGCTTTTATACAGATGGTACTAAAACTGAATCGTTTGTAGGCTGTGCAATGATTAGACCATCTGTTTCCAAGGTAAAAAGACTGAACCCCTTTGCCACAATTTTAACGGCAGAGTTGCATGGTCTACCTCTTGCTGTTGAACATATTGTAGAGAAGAGGCTACGTCGCTCCGTAGTATACTCAGGCTCTTTAAGCTCATTGAAAGCCCTTGTTTCCCTGAATATCCCCACAAACCCGTTGGTTTCACACCTGCAGAGTAAAATAATCTGTGCGATCAAAAACAAATGTGATATTGTGTTCTGCTGGGTGCCAAGTCATGTTGGCATCCCGGGTAATGAGGAGGCAGATCAAGCTGCGCACTCTGCGGCCACACAAATTGTGCACCTTAAAAAATTCCCCACAAGGATTATCACAAGGTGGTTAGACATTGCATACTACAGAGATGGCAACATGAGTGGGATACTGAGATAAACAATAAGTTGCATATGGTGAAACAACTCTTGAAGGAATGGGAGAGTGCTCGGCACCGTGAACGATTCTACGAGGTGGTACTCTGCCGTCTAAGGATTGGCCATACACGGCTCACACATGGGCATCTTTTGCGGGGTGAAGATGCCCCACAGTTCGAACATTGCCATTGTCCTTTGACTATACTTCATATTTTAATTGAATGCAATGCGTATGGCCTAGAACGCCGTAACCACTTTTCACAGCTTTACAAAGAGCATACTCCCCTACATCTGATGATTTTACTTGGCGATGAACCCCTCATACCACACTCTTGTGTTTTTAACTTTCTCAAAGCAACCGGCTTTCTACACCGACTGTGATTTTACTGTTTTGAACTCATGTCCATTCCTTTTACACTTATACATAGGTCATGTCCATTGTTTTATCCTATCATCTGCTACTAAAGCTCTTTCTTCTCCTTAACCCTCTCCCAGCAATAGTTTATGTACTTGGCGCATTATAGCCTTAGATGCTTTTGCGCCACTAAAACCCAATAAAAAAAATTATTTCTTAGCTTAAAGGGATGTTGAAACGGAAATTGAAATATCACTATCAAGTTCAAAAGTAGGATAATTGTGATCATTACTACCCGGATATGACAATCACACATTTTTATTTTTAGTGGATGGCAATATTTTGCATTCTCAACGGCCTTCTCTAGCAAGCGCTCCAAGAGCAGTCACGGAGAGCGCAATGCGTCTTGGGGGTCTTCGACACACCCGTGACATCATCCCATACAGCATGAAAGGCTACAGAGGCTGGCTTAATTATCAGCTTTACCACTCGGTGGCGCCAGTGCATCACAACTAGGCTTTTTGAGACATCTGAGGGCCATACCAGCCGCATGCCACAGCACTGACTACAATGGTAGACTGCCCGCTCACACTGCCGCGGCTGCACAGTCGGACTGAAACACTTCATCGCCCTGGGGCTCTTTTCGTAATCCTCATCACGAAAGTGGTCAGAGCACAAACAATCATTTGTTGTCGGAATCCACATGAAAAACGACAGATGTGCCGGACACATCCGTTGCTCGGAAATTAATGCGTTGGCAGCTCGCGATGTAGCATGCAGTTATTAAAGTCCTCTGCCACACAATCGCGCAGCATCTGGGCATTAAAACCCACAGAAGCTCTTCACTTCTGAACCTTCCAACAAAGTAAATGCCACACCGAAGCACACTACCGATAGGCCATTGGGTCAACCGGGGCGATCAACCAAACGGGGTCATCGTGGCCAGCTCTACATTGGCTTTCTCGACCAAAACTTCGCGTTCAGGCGTTGGCGACTTCCACGGGTATACCCATACCTCCACAGAGGGGCACTACCCATATGTCATAAGCAATGTCCTAATACAGTGTTCATAGTCATGACCAGACTTGTACGTAATCCGTTACAAGTGACGAAATTAGTTGTAATCCCTTACATTTATCGGTAATTTAGTAACGGAAAAAATTACATATTTTCTGGAGTAATTTTAGAGTAATTCCCTTACAATTTTTACGTAACGGATTCCTTGTAATCCGTTACATTTTTTTTCAGGACCAACCCCCCCCCCCCCTTCTAAAGAAAATATTGTTTTTATTATGGTAAATTTTAACGCAGTGAGCGCAAAGGGAGGCTTGGCACTCCAGTTCCGCAAAGTCTTTTTTTTGCAACACCAAGCCCCTGAAACTTTTTTTTTTTCACACTAACAACACTGTCAAAAGATCCAAATAAACATTTCTACAAAAAAAAAGAAGGGAGGGGGGGGCAAGGTATATCCGCTTTTTTAGTCTGTTTTTTTTTCTTTACGATCGAAGATGGGGAGAGGAGGACAGCTAGTGATTGTGTGCTTCTTCGGGAAGCTTGAGGCGGTAAGTGCAGAGTCAAGAAGTAACAATGTCCTTCTCGGTTAGTGTGACTCGACCATTTTCATAATGTCACAACACGAGACAACGCTCCGTCTACCCGAAAATTCATTAGAGATGTGATAATATGTGAAGGCGTTATTGCCACAACCATCCTCGTTCGTTGCTACACACTTATGTTCTCTTAACACGATGTATTCTTTCTGCTTCTTTCACCTTATTTGACCCTGTTTTAAAAGCTACTTACTTTTTTGTAGTCCAACTTCTAGGGTTGTCCCACTTTATTTATGAACTCCAGCCAGGTTATCTGCATCTCAGACACCCTTTTTGTGAGTCAACTTTTCGCGAGCACTTCGAAAACGGTAATAATCTTCCTTTTTTTTCTTCTTCCTATTTTTACCCCAGCTGGACGCATCTTATCTCAAGCAGATATTTTTACAAATAAAACATAATGGTGGCTGACGCAGACTTGATATTCTGGGCTGGAGGAGCGAGTGAAAATCGTGAGTGGGGCCGGAGTGTGTCTCACTTAGTCGTTTACCTTTCACTGCCCGTGGCATCAGCGGACGTCTATCTGGAGAACACCGGAGTAAACTGCAGTCGGTACGTGCTCCGTGCGTTTTTGAACGGCACCAAGAAAGGTGCATACACCAAACGTCCGTTTACATTTCTTTGTTTAAAAAAAAACGTTGTAATTAATTGTTGTTATGAGTGTCCTGGTGTTGTTTTTTCTCTCGATTACTTACATTTATATATTGGAAACTCATATTCGCCAACGTCTCAACCGAGGCTCGACCTGTTCATAACCAAAGAAAGAAGAATATCGAGCCAAACCTTATTTATTATTTAATTATCACCTTACTGTTACCAACTCTACTAAAACTCTCGAATATCAGGCAACGGCGGCAAAGATGAAGCCTTGCTCTATCTTCGAGCTAAATAGTACTTCCATCGCTGCGCTGAAGAAGCTCAATGCAGATCATAAAGCATTCGTGAGGCAAAATATGGACTGAGGCACAATATGAACTGAGGCACAATCCAGCGCCTGTGTTCAAAGGGTGTTCAGCGTAGCAGTCGACATGTTGAGTAAGAAATGACGCAAAATGTCTGACGAGACTTTCGAGAGCCAGCTGTTGCTCAAAATACTCAAGGTCAAATAAATGGAGAAGGTGGCACCAATAAGAACTTAAATAACCCCTTCCCTTTGTTTCTTAATTGAGGACAATAATGTTGAAAGTAACGCCACGAAAGTAACGGATTACTTTTTGGGGTAACGGTCAGTTACTTTTATGGGAGGGTAATTGTAATTGTAAAAAATTACAATTTATCCTTGAGTAATTGTAAATGTAATTCCTTACTATTTTTCAGTAACGTGTACAAGTCTGGTCATGACATACAACACTGTTTTTGAAACATCACCCATGTGCCCTTCGAAAATCGTTTAGTTCATTTCATCATTTGTTTTCTTGTCCTTTTCAACAGAACATTTGTCTTTGCGAGCAGATGTCATTGCCTAGACGACATTAAACAATAAAATAGGTGCAAGAATTTTGTTTCCATACACTTTTAAACACCAGATGAAGGAATATATTGTTCTCTTTCCTATCTCATACTGCCCTTGAAGGGTACAGTGATTCCAGCAAGGCTGTACTTATATTTGCTTTTATACTGTTTTTCTTCCAGCTGCAGTAAACAAGAGGTTTACACAATCAACAAAGGATGATGTTGAAGTCACAACAAAGTCATGGCTCAGACATGCCCCAGAACGAGAATATGGAAAAGCCAGCCAGCGTTGAACTTTGCATTTTATAGGTATTGGTTCTACTTGTTTTAGCTAAGACTTCTAGCTCTGCCAATGTTTATATTTATTTATCTTTTTATATTTTATTTGTGCTAATGAAGGCCCATAGCAAAGACCAGGTACATTCATTGTGTATGCAATAAAAGTTCAAGAGAAATTCCACTTGTCTTAGTTTACTTGCAGACATACTGTCACAATTTAGCTTACTAAAGCAAATACTGAACCTACTTTTGGTCTAGTTTTCTGAGCCCATGCTTGGTGTAGTATTATTGTCAGGTTATCTGTCTGCACTATTTATGCAAAACTCACATAAACATGCTCCGATGATATCATGGACTAGTTTGTTTCCACATTACGTTCACTCCGGTGCTACGCTTCACTGATAGGTGTGCATGCAAACCCAGCTGAAGCGAAGCAGTGGTGTGAATTTAATGCAGAAATAAACTAGTGCATGATATGATCGAACCCAGTTTATGTGAATTTTTCATATATAGTACAGATAGATAACTCGACAATAGTACTACACCAAGCATGAGCGCAAAAAGAACAAACAATAATTATATTAATATTTGACATATGGCATGTAATAATACTATTCAAAAGAAAATGCAATATTATTGCACAGGAGGGTCATTCGGTGGGTCCCATGGATGAGCCGTGCCACGTTCAGGGTTCTTGCATCGGATGATCCGATGGACATCCGGTGAATGTCATTCGGAGGTAAATGGACATCCGGTGGACTTCTAAATGTCCGAAGTTGAACGAACGCGGGATGTCCTAGGGACATAAATTGCCCTCTGGGATGGCTACAACGGCTGCTGGCGGTAGCTGCCGGGACGCGCGCGCAGTCGCGGAGGCGCAACGAGAAAGCGCGTGCGCGTGATCTGTACCGAGGGTTCCCAAAATTTCCTGCCGTCGTGGCGCTGTACGTTTTGCAAAGGGGCTATTAAGCAATACCAAACACGCATGCCGTAAAGCGATCGTCGTCTCCGCAGGCGATTTCCATCTGAGGGGAATTTGTCGTATTGTCTTCTAGCAAACGACATACCTAGCTCTTCATCCGAATAGGTGCGTACAACGTCTTCGACGTAACGCCGTATCTTGGGCCTCTTCGCTGGCAAGGCGAATGAGTCGGCAAAGACTTCGCCGAGAACGGCTGCCTCGTCGTCACTCTAGCTGGAGCTAAGCTGGTATCTTCTTCGCTGTCGCTGATTTCGCTGCTACTGCGTTTTATTAGACCTCCTGAAATTAACTGCAGCGATGTCAGCGCCGCAGTATGCTCGGGCCAGTCGGTCATGACAAGAGGAGCGAAACCAAGCACAGCAAGAGAGCCCACCCAACAATCGAAACAAAAAAAACAGTGAAACTCCTTCATTCCCCCGCGGCAACGTTGATCACGAAACTGAAATGTTGCGAGTGACTACAGATCGTACTCCCCCGAAAAAGGCTGCGCGGAGAACTACTCCGGGTCCGAGCGGTCTGTCCGAGGAAGACACAGTTTGGGCGGCACATTCGTTTCTTAGATCATTCTGCATGATCGTGATCGAAACATCACGTGCACCCTATATTCAACCAGAAAGGGTCACTACATTTAACTCTTACGCGCTTATTAAAACCAGATCTGCTTCTCGCTACTACTGCTAGGGGATTCTATGAACTACTTCCATAAACCCCTGCGTGCGACACGGCGCGCATTGCTCTTTGGGAACTAGTTGGCCAGGGAGGAGGGTGGCATGGTATCGGTTTCGATCGGCAGCGTGGACTACGAACGGCCGTGATCTCACGTTTTTGGTGTCTACGCGGTGTGCCAAAGGAACGAAATTATTCAAAGCCCATTTGATGGTTGCTAATGGCCGTAATATTTATGTGTTTGCTTTCTTCCTGACTGAGTATGCCGAGATAATTTCGGACACACCCTTCAGACACAGATCTTGGGCGTCAGTAAAAGCTCGTCCAAAAAGGCTTAGCGAAGAGTAGGAGAGGCTTGTTAGAGCCTCCGTCGTAGCTAGCCGACCTCAGCGTTTGCGAAAACCTAATCTATCAGCGTTAAATTTGAGTGGACGATATATGATGACACGAGGAAGACATCATAGTAATTTGTGTGCAGTAATTTGTGTGCAAGGAAATTGCCCCAGTTTTGGTTTTGTATCGTTCGAGAATGAATGTATTGTACATTCGTGAAAAGTCAGATAATCGAAAACTCAAGCGGAGCATTCGGTCACGGCGTGATAGCATGAAAGGAAGCTGCTCAATCGAAACCGAAACTGAGTGGGCAACTAGTTCCCAGAGGGCACTTCGTCGAGGCGTCGTGTATTTCTTTGTGCCCCCGTTTTTTTTTTCTTTTTTTTTTTCTTTTTATAGAGTAGCACAGTAGCACATTTATATATTTGCGACTTCGTGTGTAGACTAGCACGGACCTCATCCAGCATCATGCATCGAGCCAGCCGTTGATAGACTTTGCTAGAAAGTCGATCCAGCATCCAATCCAAAGCCGGACAAGGTGAGCAAACACAAATGGCGAGCGGGACGTTGGCATGGTTCGCGGCATGGTTCAGGTACGCTGGCTCCAGGGTTGAAAAATTGTATGTGACCGTGGTGGCGAGTGAAAGCGCTGCATGTAAATCTATGCGGGGCAGAAGTCGCTCGAAGTTACCGCCTGTGCTTTGATTTTGATGTTCGTGTTGTGTCGGTTTCGTCGTATGTAGGCCTAGTGAACCAACTTCCGCTCAACAACGCTTGCTGGTGGTTGACTCGACAGTGCTGACGGCCCTTCGCCGTATCCCGACGATCGTTTTGTCGGCATGTCCCGCAAGACTTAGTAGCCGTCAAGTAGGAGAAATTACGAGCAGCAGGAAAGGGATGCGGCCGCGTATTATTTCGTAGTGGCGAGCGGCGGCACTTTTCTGTTTACGTTCGCGCACGTTTTTGCATCGCCTTCTGCCCGTTCGTGGTGTAGATGCCCTTTGCCTTTTGTTGCATCGCGCTGTTTCCACGCTTCGAGCGCACCTTCGGGACTCCCGGCCGAGTAGGGACGAGCGTCGCGCCGCTAGCCCGGCGAGACGGCGATCGTTCGGCGGCGGCCTCCGTGTGTTGTAAGCGTTGAAGTGAAATTAAGGGGGGGGGGGGAGGGAGGGAGGGAATAGAGTCAATCGTGTACGCGCGCTAGGCGCATTTCTCACTGACTTGGGGTAGGGTGAGGGGAGAAAAGTGGGGGACAAGATAGAAGTAGGGGTCGGGCGTCAGGAGCGTCGTCGCACCGTCCCGCTAGCTCGTCATCCCATCGTCGGGCTTAATCAGTGAGTGAGTGTGTGTGTGTGTGTGGGGGGGGGGGGTTAGCACTGGTGGCTCGCACCGCGCGGTGTCCGGTAATCAAGGCGGTCTCCGGGGGCGAACGCGCCGTTTTGGTGGAGGCAGGCTAGCTCGCCGAGACGCTGCTGACGGGGCATCGGGTTGTGCCGTCCGCGAGACGCTTGTCCGTTATTTTATTTATCCTTGCATCAGGTTTTAGATTATGATGGTAACCTTGCATTGTTTGCCATACTTCGCAAAGTCGTAACAATTTTTCTACAGGCGACTCCTAGAGCCGCTCGTCAAATTTTGCGGCACGCAATACAACTTTTTTTTTTCGACACAACATTTTTTTTGCATTATAACTTAGCGGTATATCGAAACTTTCTGCTCCTAGCGCAATCGCACCAATGCTGAAACATTCCGCACGTACTGGCTAACCGTCATCATCGTAAGCTCGGCTCGTTTTTCCGAGTTCACATCAAACAAAACTAGGTTCCTTCTATGAAAATACGGTCTACCGTTAAATACCGGGCAAGAGCGCACTCAAACTTTGGAAATAATAGCAAAAAAATGGGGGATGGGTGCTTGTCCGGTCGTCAGTTTTACTTATAAATGTACTGTGCGTATTTCCTCAGATCTCACAAATTTGGTAATGGGCGCTTAATGTGGAATGGGCGGATGCACGGTATTCTACGGTATGTCCAGGCAGTTAGCGGCACCCTACGCCTTGGTAAGCACAACCGCGCGTTGTGAAGTCCACTACCGGCGTGGCACAGGGCCCCGTCTTTACCTAGCGTGTCGTCATATGCAAGGAATGTATACTCCGTTCGCCCCTAAGCTGAGACTAGAATCTCCGCCTTCAGTGCGAGCTCGCTGGCTTCTGCAGTGCTTTGGTTGCGCGTGTCTGCGTGATCGCACTTGTGTTAGCAAGGGCAGAAAGCTTGCGTTGAAGGCGGAGCTTCTAGTCTCAGCTTAAAAATGAACGGAGTATAGTCGAAACGCCATTGCCATTGCTTGAAAAACTGGATGTAAATAAGCTATTTGCACGAAACCTCGGTATCACGAAATCGTTGCAAGTAAAAAGCTACAAAGCATGGTGTAAACAGACCTTTACGCGAAATGAGCACCGTTTTTCTCTTTTACTGCTACTTTTATTACTTGGCGTATACCGGAATGCGACGCCGTCGTGTTTCATTGTGGCCGTGCATGGGGATATAGCCATGGAGTTATTATAATATATGCTAAAGGTTGCGAAGACCTGACAGTGTGAAGTAACTTGAATGAACATCATATCTGACCACGCCTTTTATTCTAGTGAGGAGGAGTACTGTTCATCGAAGAGAATGACGAAATACGGTGGCGTCTGTCCCTCTGTTGTGGTTCGACGTGAGTATGAAACAACGGTGTGTGGCCAAGCAAAATGCCTGGGGCGGACATTTTGTCTCGTGTGCGACCGGGTCAAGCACCATACCCTGACTGCCCTACTGAAAAAAACCATTTGAAATTCAAACGGGTGGCAAACTGGTAAATCAAACGGATGCAAACTTGTCGACCCGTTTGGATCAAACGTGATTATGGGATACGGGTAGCCGTTTGAAACGGTACCCGCTCGAAACGGTACCCATTTGATACAGGTGCCCGTTTGAAACGGGTGCCCGTTTGATACAGGTGCCCGTTCGACCTTGCACGTGACCACACGTTTGAACGTGCCTTTTGAATCGGGAAATTATGCGCTAGCCCTA